TCAGCCGGAAGTAGTCCAATAGCCACTTGCGAATTAGACTCGAGATTTTGTGAGGTACCGGGTCACATGAGGTGCATGGACAATGTAGTCTGCGACATCGCGGATGACTGTCCGAACGGAAAGGACGAAGAATCATGTGGTAGGTCATCCTGATTTGCGTATTCGGGCGAATCGCTGGAACACATCTCTTTTAGACGATCAGCCCCTGGGAGCTAGATGTGATTTTGATAACGAGAAGTCGTTCTGTGATGGGTGGACAATGTTAACGCTTGAGCAAGCAAAGCCTATCACCGAACATCTGCTTCAGGTCAAGCGACCAATGGGAAATGTTGGACCAATCCATACTTCCCGGCCTGGAGGAGGTACATACCTTCTCATATTCATTTCAAGTGAATTTGAAAAAATGTCATCTTCAGATTTTTTTATTTGGCTTTCTATTCATTTCATCTACTTTTTTCACTTTCAATTGAAATATTACGTAGATCGCTCACTCCTATCACCGGCATTCAATGATAGCGAGCGAAACTTATTTAATATAAGATTTGTCGAGAACTAACAATCAATTCCCACAATCACTTCATTTTGAAAACTGTATCTCCTACTCAGTTGCAGAATGTATAAGAACGCTTGGCCTCTTCCATCTGCGCTCTTAGATCTTCCGAAATCAACTGCGAAATAAGGGTCGTGTTTGCCATTTTGTTTGCCCCGTTATATCAGAATTTATTGGCACCCATTACTTCAGTGTAAAGCTTTATAATCCATAGGTAGCTATCATGGAATTTCTTTCGATGCGAATCACGCTTTTCAATATGGGATTGCAGTGGACGTGAAATACGACAAAGTTCGAATTATCGAGTCATGATGAAACCGTTGCCGTGTCTGGGGACGCCGAATAAATCTCATTTCTCTCAAATTTAATTCCTGCTAGGAACTAAAATATTTCATGCTGGTGGTTTCGTACTTCCACAACCGGGTTCGCACCACAAACGACCGCGAAGGCTGGAAGTGAAACTTCATTTGATGCAGTAGCAACAACACCTCCTTAAAGCAACAATTCCAGATTGAATTCGAGGACGAAAAGCGGTCGATGATGAAATTGAGGATGGCGAATTAACTGCAAATGAAAAAAGTGAAAACTGCGCATTGAGCTATAAGAAAGGATTTCCCTCTTCCTCCTTCGAAATAGGGAGGTAGTTGGGCAGGACGAGCTGTCTGAAGTAACTTGCTCCGCCGGCATTTGTTGCTCGTGCCAGCACGAAATGCGGCTGTAGTCGCATATGCAGCAATACAAACAAGGTCAAACGGCTCAACCAAGTGAAACCAAACAAGCAGGAGGCATTCCTTGAAACGCGGAACAGTTTGCATGCAGTCACGCAATAACCGCGGAGTCGACCACGTGGACTCTTCGCTAGCAGGTGGCGGAGAAACGGAATAGGGCGGAAAAACAGCTTTGGCACAAATCCAAGTCTCTTCTAGCGGTTTACATGGTGAGTTTCTCGCTAAGCGACACTTATGCTCTTGACTGGGGCTCGCGCATCTTTTCCCATCAGTAGCAATAGTGTATACCCTGCTGGAATTGTTACTTTGTAGGCAAGCCCTGGGTAATACTCGCTCATGCGAGCGATTTACAGTGATGGATACGCTGCGGAGAACTGAAAGTGGAAATGAAAGGAAGAGAAACCATCGAAAACGCTAAGGTAAGGGCCAGCTACCAGTAAGGTTGGATGTTATTGGTAGCGCACTGACGAGGCGTGGTGCCACGGAGAGGCAGAGCGACCAGAGAGGACAAAATACGGGAGAGTAATAATGAGCACGTTGGTCCCTCCATCAAATCGCGCTGTGTGAAGAGGATCGGAAGGGTGTCGATGGTGGCAATTCATAAAGATTACCGCCCTAACCGTGTTATGGGCGACGAAGCTGGCACGACCTCAGTAGGTACTTATTCTACACTCTCACTCGCAGCCCGGTTCATACTAGGAAGCCTAATCCTGGAGCATGCTTGTAACTTTTGCTTCACATTTCTGATGACCTTCCCATATTCCCATTTACGTCATTGCTGAGGAATAATTGGTTAAGCGAACATTTTGATTGAATAACTTTTGTTTCGAATGGATCATGCAAAATGATATGTAGAAGTGGCTTAGTTGAATAACCTTTTTATCGATTGTAAAAACTGATATGTAAGATTCTCACCAGATCACCATTCATTCTTGGTTAGCAAATACGTACTCAGGTAGCTTTCTGCTTTACTCATCTGAACTCAATTGGAATCGATCGCTGTCGACGAGGGACACCTTCTTCACGTCGCCGTTTTATCCTCCCATTTTTAACGACGATGGCAAATGCAGGGTGAGTCTGTACCGCGCCAGCAGAAACCATCATGGTGAGCTTCCAAACACGGAAGTCTTATTTCAGTTGAGATTCTACGCGATTCAATCTGGAATCGACGTCGAATGGTCACTGTCGGTTGTTCATCCGTCATGGGTGCAGAAAGCAGTTCCTTTGAGAATCCCCCTGGAAGAAGAAGGGAAGAGGTATGACGGTGTCGTAGCAAACCAGCTTGCAACTTATTTTCAACTTTTTTTTTCTAGAATTGAACGATCTTGGCACCGCATCTCATTTGATATGGGAAAGCTGGTACGTTACTTCTTCTACATTCGGAAAAAAGAGTAACTCTGAATACTTAAGGATGAAGCGATTTGCTGTGCAAGCCATTCCTTGATTCTGCAGCACATTCAAGCTGCAACCGCAGTGTAACCTTGACTTATATCAAAAGAACGGGTGGGGATCGAATTGGTGTGTTATTCCGCTCGAGACTGAAAAAAGTGGGGCGAAGAGGACAGCTGGTGACGGAAAAAGCAAAAAAGGAATCGTAGAAAACCCTAAAACCAAACACCTCCATTTTTTGCGGTCGAACATGGTTTAGGGGAGAGACACATCGCGGTGTGAAGAGGACCTACGCGAAAGAACATGTTGTACGAGAGGGCGTAGACATCGCGTAAGCTGCGAGCGGCTAAAAATGACAGCGGTTGTAATGGCCATAATAGGGCGTTGGCGCCCCTAGCAATCGCTTTCAGTTTGCAACAGTGCCACGACTGCTGTGCTTAGGGACCCCTCCTTGACAAAGATAA